GATATATTTCATAATTTATTTTTATATCAAAGACCATAAAATTAATTATCATAAAATTTATATTTTTAATTTCAAAAAAATAGAATTAAAATTATTTATTTAGAATTAAAAAGTAAGCAAATAAACACATTAAAATAAAATAACATAAAAATTATAAATTAATTAATTTATTTTTTATTTAATTTTAGTATATAGCTTCTCAGCTACAGAAAAAATACGCTGTGTGCAAATAGAAATAGATCAAACATTTTATTTTAGACAATTTATGTTACCGTTTAATAGATTATAATAAGAAATATAAATATTTGTTATTATTATAATTATGTATAAAAAAGTAGGATTTAGATAAGATATAAGGGATATTGAGAAAGCGAATTTATTAATTACAATGAATACATTTTCATGTATTTTTGTAATTAGAAATATTTTCATATTTTAAAAAAATTTTACGTTTTTGTAATAGTTAATATTTTTTTTAATTTTGCTGATCAAAAATGTCAGATTTTAAAAAATATCAAAATAATCTAATTACAAAAAACACTTAAATAGTTAAAAAATTTATTTTATTCTAGTGAGCTCGCATTATAATAAACCTTTTATATCCAATCTCTGGTTCCAAATAGATTTTTAAGTACACATTTTAAAAAGAAATATTAAGGTTTAATAATGAATGTTATCCTAACTAACTATTTTGTGATTTCTATTAGGAAAAGCAAATTTATAAATTCATAAAATTTATTAATCCTATTTATCTAGTTATAATAAATTAAATATCCATAAATCTCTACTCAATATTTATAATAAAAAATAAATGATATAATAGATTAAATATTACAATAAATTAGAAGAAGTAATTATTTATTTATTTTATCAAAATACTTTAAATTTATATTTACTAATTTTAAAAGTTTTTAAACTCTTCACTTTAATCTCATTAGACTCTCCATATTGATCTTGAGTATATTTAATTTATAAATGTTATTATTATATTATTATTATTTTCTTTTTATTTAAATTTGAGTTTATTTAAAATATTATTTTACTAATAGAAATTATCACCTATATTCATTCATTTTACTAATAAAAATGTTTTTTCATTACTTTAATATTTTTAATTCATTATCCATCTTTTATTATTTAATATTTTTTGTTCATTTTTTCCTTAAACTTTAAATTGATAATAACAGTTTATTTGTTTTGGATTATTTAT